TCCACTTACTGGCACCCAGACTGTCAGTCCTAGGAGAGTATGGGCCACAGACCGATAGGTGTAGTTTTAAGCTGCCAAACTTAGTGTTGTGTGCCACAAAACAATAAAAGAAGTAATTTGCTGTGTCCAAATGTTAGTGTCGCCCTCAGGTTTGTATTTGAAACCTAATACTCAGTGATCGTATTTGGAATTGGAGCCTCCGGGAGACATCTGAGGATACATGAGGGCCTGGCCTCATGCAAGGGATCAATGCCTTTCCATAGGAGGCCATAGGGAGCTCCCTGACCCCTTCTGCCAGACAAGGGCAGGCAGATTGCCTTTCTATCTTCCAGCATGGGAAGCCGTATCAAGAAGCCTCCACAGAAGTGGAAATCAAGCCCTTGGTAGGGCTTGATTGAACTTATGAGGGCTTGCTCCCAGCCCCTAGAACCACGAACAGTAATTTATAAATTACTTGTCTATAAATTGTCTTCTGGGCCAAGTAAAGGCGCTTGTTACCAAGCTTGATGACCTGAGTTTGATTTCTGGGATCCATCAATCTATAGAGTAGAAGGAGAGAACAGGCTCTTTTGTGTTGTCCTCTGGCCTCTATACACTTGTGCCATGGCACACACATTCCCACATATATTCACACACACACACACACACACACACACACACACACACACACACACGCAAGAATTTCTAAAAAAATTATTGTTTAAGGTATTTTTGTTATAGTACCACGAATGAACTAAATAGCAGTGTTGTGTCAGTTAGCTATTACCATAATAACACTAAGTTACAAGCAAGCAGTAGGTCCTATGGCTTGTGACAAGTATTTACTGCTATAGACTCAATCGCCTGCTGTGGCTTGTTCAGGACTGGGATCCACTGGTGACACTCTCTTCTTGCCACAGATCTGAACTGGCTGGGACAGCCCCAACCGCCTTTTCAGGCCAACTTCTTTTTCTAGTAGCTGAAGGGCTAAAGGGACTTTTACTTATACTGCACCAGCCCTCAAAAGTCCAACGGCCGCCGGGCGGTGGTGGCGCACGCCTTTAATCCCAGCACTCGGGAGGCAGAGCCAGGCGGATCTCTGTGAGTTCGAGGCCAGCCTGGGCTACCAAGTGAGTCCTAGGAAAGGCGCAAAGCTACACAGAGAAACCCTGTCTCGAAAAACCAAAAAAAAAAAAAAAAGTCCAACGGCCAAGTCCAAGTACATTCCACCCTTGAAAGGGCCATGGGAACAGTCAGGGGACAAGAATGACAGCCAGCAGAGCCATCTATCACAGAAAAAGAAGAGCAGTGGCGACAGGTCCATGGTGGTCTTCGTTGTGAAGATACACCCTGTGGTGGTCCAAAGAGACATCACAACACATCTCCTCCAGAGCTGGGAGGGCTGTGACTGCTCTCTGAGGTCCAGAAGCAGAACAGCAAGACCCTTCAGCTCCTATCTATCCTGGCGTCTTAGGTTGAGGATGGGCAGATTCAGGGTGGCATGCCCAAAGAGCACAGAATTTCATTCATGGAACAAGGGTCAGCTCTCACACACACTTTCCTAGCATTTCAGAGGGTTCACAAAGGGCTAGCAAGAATAGTCTGGGTATGACGCCCATGGAGACCCCCACTCTACATCTTCCTGTGAGAGCCTGGACTGAGCTGGAAACCCCTGGACGGAGCAACCGGACCTCAGTGTCCTTCCTTTCCTGATTGGCTGGTTGCCCACACCTGCCGAGCAGAAGTCTCAGAGGATGACGTAGGGTACACCCATCAGCTGTCAACCTAGTGAGATGCGGGGGCTGGAAGTGGTCCAACTCTTCCCTAGCACTGTGCCATGTCCAAGGGACCTGAGGCTGACTCTCTCCATGGGCCCAGGAGCACACCATCTTGTGTGTGTCCAAGGGACCATCACCTGTTCCCTGCAGTTACTGCCTTCTCAGCCTGTCTTCATTCCCTCAGTCTGACTGCTGATCTCTCAGTTTATGTGGAGCAGGAGAGAAGAGCTCAGAACGAAGCCAGCGTTTCTGCAAGGCCAGGCAGGAATTTTACAGGCCTCCGAAGGACCCGGACAGCCACCCCAGCACTGGGCTGAGCTCCACGAACTGCCGAGAGCAGAGTTTCTTAGATTACAATGCTGACCTAGGTTGGCTCCACAGTCATCTTTGGCTCACATCTGCCTAATGGCCCGTGTTTGGTCATGGACCTTTTTTTATTTCCATAGCCCATAAGGATTCTATTAGCCATTAGCAAAATAATGAAGGGTTTATATAGGGGGAGGGCACGGTGTCCCTTGATATCTCCCCCCACAGCCTCCTGCGTCTGCCATCCTTCCTACACGCAGGTCCCCTTGTCAGGGTCCCGTGTACCTCATCTTTGCAGGAATTCTCTAGAATTCTAGTGTTTCTTCCTGTGTACTTCTCCTCGGCTCATCTGCGGGATTTCTCTCAGGTCTCCCCGTTTGGGTGGTAAGTACTTTATCTGTGGGCCCATTGTCAGTCTACACTTTACTGTTCATCCACACAAAACCCCCATCCTGTGAAGTATATGACTTTTCTCAGGCAAGTTTCCTTAATATATAAAGAGCTCCCACCTATCATTAATCCAGAGTTGGAATCCGAGGGAAAAGTTAGAGAAGGAACATTAGCAGTCCATCTCAAGAAAAGGAAACACAGACGATTCCTGGGAATGGCTTCTCAACTCGCCCACAGGGAGGAAACTTCAAGCTGGAGGCGAACGGGGAGAGGACTCACATTCAGGGCACATGCGTGTGACAGGCCAGCGTGTCCCCCCCCGGAAGGGCAAACTTACATCCTCTGACCTCATGGTTGCACTGTAGCAACGGAGCTGTCTTGTCCCTTCCATTTTTGCTGCTTTCTTATGGGCAGCGCCTGATTAAAAGTGACCCGGCTTGGATGTACAGATCAGACAGGATGTGAAATATTTTTCAGTGCCATGCCATTCTGATGCTGAAAAGACAGAAGCAGCCGTGGGCACAGTGGCGTACTCTCGCTATCCTGATGTACAGGAGACCTCGGGAGGGGAATCAGGAGGCCAGCCTGAAGGATGAGGTGATCTTAAATAAACAGCAATTGGAAGAAAGAGGGCGAGGGAGGAAGATATATTTTATTCGACTATTTATTATTTATTTATTCTATGTATATAAGGTGAGAACAGAAGGGTACAGAATGGTGAATTTCCTACTTCACTATTTGCCAACTGGAGGAACTGTTGCTTATCAGTGAAAACACAGTAGAAATAGTGGGACATTTAGGAACTGCCTATTTAGTCTCACTCTGTAGGTTCTTAGGTACTGACCATGCCTTAAAACAATAGATATGATTTATTGTACTAGCCGGGCGGTGGTGGCGCACGCCTTTAATCCCAGCACTTAGGAGGCAGAGGCAGGCGGAGCTTTGAGGTCCAGGCCAGCCTGGTCTACAAAATGAGTTCTAGGACAGTAAGAACTAAACAGAGAAACCCTGTCTTGAAACCCCCCCCCCAAAAAAAAATCTGTACTAATTTTATAAAAATGTATTTAATGACATAAGTCTCCCTGGTATTTGTAAACATGTGTGTGTTTCCATAACTATAAAATAATTATGCTGTATCGCATTTGACTCCTCTAACATGTCTTACAGCTGTGGCAATGCTGTCTAAGAGGTGATGGTTAGGATGTAAGGTAACTATGGCTGTGTTCTGTCCCCTACACACTGACAAGGACATACATATGTTGAGAGAGAGCATGTGTGTACATTTACAGATTTATAACGAAGACTTAAAATGTGTTCATACAAGCACAAATAATACTATGCAGGTGTTTATATTACATTCTCAACATAGAAAAAAAACCCTGAAAACATAATGAAAAGTAAATTTTGTTTTTCTCTGAGGGGTGAAACTGCTATTAATTTTACTTTGATTTTTGTATGAACACATTTTAAGTCTTCGTTATAAATCTGTAAATGTACACACATGCTCTCTCTCAACATAGATTACTTAGGCTCTTTATTTAGACTTCTCTCTAGCTTTCTTACTTTTATCCCTTTAAAAAAAACCCCAAGGATATAATGACACATAATTAGATAAATACCACATATTTATCTGCACAGCACTGTCAGGTGCACGATGCTCTCAGCATGTGTCTGCTCCTCTGTAGGAAGCCAGAGTCCGAGTTAGAGCCCAGCTTATAGATGAGACATGGAGGCTGTGGCCAGTTCAATGAGAGGCAGAGCTGGGGACTGCCGGCTTCCCTGTATTATGGGTTAATTTAGGAACAAATGTCCTTAATGTATAAAGAGCAGCAAGGGCTCTGAGCCCCTAGGGGGGCCAGCTTGGTTTTCAGAGGATGTGCCTAGAATTGGGTTCTCTCAGGATCCCGCCCACTTAAAGGAGGTGTGGGCGGGGTCTCTAATATGACTTTCTTACTGTGCAGTAAGGACCCCTCTCACTTTTACTTCTCCATCCTCCACTTTACTGTGTGTGTGTGTGTGTGTGTGTGTGTGTGTGTGTGTGTGTGTGTGTGTGTGTGTAAGTGTATACCTGTTTCTGTGTACAGAGTGAATGGGAGGGCATATGTGCGTGCACACATGCATAAGCCCAGAGATCATGTCAGATGTCTTCCTGAATTAGTCCCTACAACAGGGTCTCTCCTTGGCCTGGAGCTCATCCAGTAGACAGGACTGTCAGGCTAGCGAGCTTGGAGTTCTGCCCATTTCGCCCCCTACCCCCATCCTCAGTGCTGATATTACAAAGTGTGTCACCTTTTGTGCCTGGCTTTTTAGGTGGGTTCCAGAGCTCATCTCCGGTCCCCATTCTTGCCCAGCAAACATTTTACCCAGGGAGTCACTGCCCCCAACCCCCTAGCTAAGCTGGCTTCTCTGTGAAAACCTAGGAAAGCAGGCAGGTGAGGGCATAATCTTCCTTATTCATTGCTTCGTATTTATCATCACCCTTTTGTAAATTGAAACATGAAAACCAAAACCAAAATGACCTCAACACTTGAGCCTCGGAAGCCTGGCTCTGGCTTGACTCAGACTGTTTGAGAACCTCTGCTTGTGTGTTCCCAAATGTGCACGAAGCAGCTGGCTCAAAGCAGCCGGCTCAAAGCTCTCCACTGACTCCCCCACACCTCTCAGAGTCAAAGCTCTTGCAGTGACCTTTGAACTCCAGCGGGATCTGTATCCTCTGCACCTCTTGCCTCTGATCACTCTGTCCCACATAAGGTCTCCCTGGTTCGGCTCTGGCATCCCTTTGCTCCCAGGCCTTTAGATATGCTCTGCAAGTGCAGTTTCCAGCTTGTTCCCCCAGAGGCGCATGCGCACCTTCCTTTACTTCTTACTAAACCAACCCCTTTCGGTTTGCGCTTCCTCAAACTCCAGAGTCCCCAGGCTGGGCCTGAGCCGGGGAAACCCCACAGGGACAGCTACTCCAGGGTGTGTGCTTGCTGCCATGACAGGACTGCAGAGGTCAGGATTCCTTCACTTCTTGATGCAAAAGCACCTTCGATTTGTTCCTTGCAGAGATGGGCCGAGCGAGGGAAGCACTGACATTCACCAGTTAGCCTCTCGGTGACCTCGATCTCTTGTTAGAAGGACTCAGGCCAGTCCAGCAGCATGTTAGGATATACCGTCCTGTGTTATGGCGGAATTCTATTTCTTTTTTAGGAGACAGACATTATGGGATGTCACGCAGTCCACGCAGCGCCTCTGGAGCTGCTTTTCAAGGCTGGGGACGGGTCGCTATTATTTGTGCTGTGTTTTTAATGTTTCCTTTGAGTCTTCCTCCTGTTGATTCGGCTGGTGCTAGGCTCAGCCTCCAGAAAACAGGACAGAAACACCTCTCTGCGCTGCGCATGTTTAGTACGCTCCAGGGGAACCCAGCGCTGGTGGGCTAAGGAATTGGGAATGTGCTCCCAGTTTAGGCAAGATGCTCTTCAGCTTGAGTTTGTTTGGATGAAAACAAGATGGGCCCACATTTCTGTGTAAATCTGAAACCAGACAAGTTTCACACAGTTGCACATTTCAAAAAATGTTCTGCTCCCGTTTGGTGAGTATTCTGTGTATCTGGGAGGAGGGGGTTCCTTGTACTTTCCAAAGGCAGAATGAGTCCCCATCTCCTCTCCAAACCCCGTTATGATCAGTGTTGACTGGTTCCCTGGTGTGTGTGGGGGGGAGCCTGGGATGCTGGAAAACACTTCTTTGACATGTGAGCTCAGGGACATGCCGCAGAACCTGCCAGAACAATCCCACTGCCCATAAATACAAAATCCTCTTTCTCACCCAGAGTGCCAGGCACACCTTTATCCAGGAAAACTCACCCTGGCCTATGAGAATATTGTGTTCTGAGATATTTCTGCAAACACACACACACACACACACACACACACACACACACACACACACACACGCATATACTCGCAATCTTTCTCTTTCTGTCATTTTCTGTGTTAACCGCATTCTTAAAACCTGGAGGCATGCCAATTTTTTTTCCTTCAAAAAGGGAAAAAAAAATCTAAAGTTTTTTTTGGTAATTGAAATTCATGACAAATTACAGACAGTTTTTTTCTTCTTCCTGTCTCTTTTAGAACAACGTGTCCTTAGAAAAGAGCTTTCTTACTGAAATGGAACATTGTGGAACCTGAGGAGCGTGGCTGGGAACACGTTGCCTCACGCTGTTGTGAGCCATGGCCACCCACAGGACCAGTGTTGGGCCTCTCACTCTCAGCAAGACAGGTGGCCAGGAGGCTAGAATGGAAAGTGGATGCCTTTTGTGTCATACCTGGGTGCTGGCCAGGTGAGAGCCAGGTAAAGCTGGTGTGTGTGAGCAAGAGGACCCCAGTTTCTGTCCACGTGGAGCCTCTTCTAACATAGATCCAAGATGAATGTCAAGAAAATGCCCTCCTCCGATACTACTCACAGTGTCATAGCTGAGGAGAGTTTATTTTATTTTTGAAATTCTTTTCTATTATTTGGATTAGAATTGTCACTGTTACTGCATTTACAAAAATCCTTTGATAACTGTACGCTTCACAAATAGATTATTTTGTTTTTTCTTTCTCAGGTCATACCAAGAAAACAACTTTGACCTAGTAGTAAGAACCTAGTGGTTTTTTTTTAGCTCCTGGTTAATTCCTTGCTGCATGGCACGGCTTTAAAAGGGAGCTGCGGCTTGGCTTTTTGTCTCAGGTGTTTTTGTGTGGATGTTTGCATGCATCCGCGACAGAGTTCTCTCTCCCAGCTGACAATCACAAGTCTTCCAGAATAGCACACTTCAGGTGCTTTCAGCCCCCTTTAAATTTATAAAGAAATAGGAATAAAATGAAGTATAAATATTTTTACAGTCTCCCCATCTTTTCCTCTCCATTTCCACTGGAATAAAACAAGGATGCCTCCATGGCACTGGCCACACTGGGGGACATTGGAGGGGTCAGGAGGGCTCTGCACCTTGGTGTTAAACTTGAGATTGCCCACATCCCAGTCTCAGAGAGAAAGATTGTGATGCAGTGTTATAAGAGAAGCCAGAAGGAGCGCACAGAAGATTTAATACGGACACCAGGCTTTCTGCTGTTTCAAGAATGACTTGAGGAAATTCCTTGCGAGCAATCTGTCAGCAATGGCTTATTACTTTAAGGGATAGGGTCATAAGCATAGGAGTGGGTTCCTATGTCCGGTCCCCTCTCTCCACTCCCGGGGTGACCCAATCAGAAGTTTGATCATTCATTTCAGAACCCAGTTCCTAGTCCTGGACAAACACTTTATATCTGAAAGCCTCACAGGGGGAGCTAGGGAGTAGCTCGCAGCTCAAAGGCCTTCCCTACAAAAGGAGTTTTGTTTTTTGTTGTTGTTTTTTTCCTTTTCTTTTTGTCGCTGGATTTGTATATAACTTTTGAGTTGGGTCAGTGGCCTTTGCAGGAATGGGTGGATGGTTGCTAAGGTCATTGCCAAAGATTAGGTATCCATTAGCATGCAGGACAGAGCCAGGAAGGTCATAGGCATTGTTCTACTTCAGCCACATTAGGCTGAGTGGAGATGGACCTTCATCACCTAGGCTTGCCCATTCACTGTGTCTGCATACGTGTGCGTTTGTGTGGGAGTGTGAGATGTGTCCAGGATCCTGCATACTGTGAAGATACAAGATGTCAGTGAACTGTGTCCACCTCACGTTATTTGTGAATGTAACCTGTACATTTCTAGCCATGTAAATTTGAAGAATGATTCAGAGGAGAACATGCTGGATGTGTTGTGGTGGATCTTTTCTCAGGGACCCAGACACATTAAAATATCTGGGGGTGGAAGGACAGGGACAGAGCAACCTCACTAATATCACGGATAGGACACCCCCACCCCTTACTGGCTGATAATCCTGTTCAAAGTACCCACAATTCTTTCATTTCCCCCAAGTGAACGGACTTGAATTTTCCACCTTCTAAAACACAATCTTCGCAGCCTAAATGAACCTTTTCAACTGTGTGGTTAGAACTATTGCAAAGAGAGAGATGAGGAAATTTTGAATTTTTAAAACATCACAAGAAGAGGAATTCTTTTTACCCCCCTCTTTTTTTCAAAGAAAACCCAATTATTTTCCTGATTTGCCAGTGTTAAACATTGTCATGTGGGCAAGCCAATAGATGCCATGCAATCCCGGTGTACACACACACACACACACACACACACACACACACACACACGAGGGATGCTTGAGAAACTCGGCTCATGGCAGAGCAGCACTGGTCCATCCGCAGTGCTTGTAGCGCCAGGAGATACTTTTCAGACTGGCCAGATATGAAGAATAACCTTGGGATTAGCCTTTGACAGAATGTGAAGTTTAAGCAGATTTACCTGGTCCTGAACCCCCTGTGCCCTTCCAAAAGCTGTTTATCCCCGGTCGAGTCTAAGTTTTACGGCACCAATTGGGATCGTTTATTTCCTAAACCCAATGGTGATTTTTACCCCAGCAAGCTGAAAGCTGCACCGGGGAGCACGCCGCCTCGATATCTTCATTTCCATCTGAAATCAAACATGATCGGTAACTAAGGTTTTCCGAAGCCAGCGTCTGCCCCCCACCTCCGGCCCGGAGAAGACAGTTAATCACAGGCTTGGAAGATGAAAGACGCAGGAGGCGAGCGGAACTCTCCCAGGCAAAGCTGCACCCCGGGGGGTCATGAAAGCTGGGGGAGGGACCATGATTCCTTGATGCAATAACATATTGAGACACTTTCTGCTTTTCACTCCCTCTGGAGTAAATATAGGGCATCTCACCCATGAAGGGTGATTATAGCTCCTAAGAGGAGGAAGCGACTTATTAAGGTTTTGTTCCCGGGCAAAGGGAAGATAAGAAATCAGTATTGATAGCGAGGAGCAATCCGCAGTTTCCCCTATAAAAATATATTTTCTCTAAAAACTGTTTTGGCAGTTGGGTGATTATCATGATGATTATTAATTTGGGTCTGAAATTGACTGAGCTTTGCAGGCGGTTCTGGTGCCTCGAGCTTTCAAAAGACAACTTTTCCCACTGTAATCCCTTCTTCTGGAATATTTTGTGTAGCACCTTCTTCCGTAAAGCAATTAAAGACGTTTGAACATGTGAATTGGTTACCTGGTCCCATTAAAAAAATCTCCATTTACTGTTTAGTATCTTATTTGAAAATATTAAACCACTGAACTAAACCAACCAACCAACCAAACAAACAAAAAAAGCAGAGCAGGAGACCTTTAAAGCCAAACATTTACCCAATGGTTCGGAGGCACCGTTTCCCCTTTGATCTTACCGTCACCAGCTTTTCGCTGGAATTTGCTCCAAAAGGGACATTTTTATTTGCTTTTGTTTTCCTTTAAATAAGGTTATAGTTTTTTTTTTGCCCCCCTCAATGAGGACCAGAAGCCCCCCGCACAGGATGAAGCGAGTGCTTACAGTGTAAGGCAAGTGAGTGCTGCCTTCTTATAATAAAAGGTGTTTAAAGGGTTCGCTACAGCTTTAAACAGAATTACAATTTACTTCTTTCAAGTGTCCAGGCCATAAATTCTTCTCAATTCCCTCTCTCTCTCCTTGTCGGAATTAATGAGATCAGATCTGATCAGGGCGCTGATGTGTTCAGCGCCAAATCACACAACAGCGCGCGCACCGTAATGGAATTTGCATCTAATGCATACATAAATCAAACATCTTTCTGGACATTTTCATATGCATAATGTCATTTCATCCAGCTCTGTCTGTGCAGAGGGGGAGATTTTTCTCTCTGAGAGAATGACTTTCTTTAATGCTTTCATTTTATTTTCGCTGACTGCGGTCCGGGAGAATGCAGTCGGTCGGAGAATCTTTCGGGGCGCGGTTGACAGTTCCTTTTCCAAGAGGGGTCCTCTACATTTATCATGCCTCTTCCTCGGGGGCTTTGTTATGCAAATGTGGCTGAAATTGATAATTCCAAAGTGCTTCATTTCGGCTCCTCGGCGGTTGGAGATGGTAGATAAAAAGAAACTGACAAGACACACTGATTGCCCTCGGTGCTTGTAACTCTCTTGCTAACAAGGGCTGGATATTGTTAAAAATTCCTATTGTTATGAGGGTGGCGCTCCCATTATGCAGGCCTTGCAAATTTCTGATTTGAATATTAACCCTTTAATCACTCAGCCCCTTTGCCCCCTCCAAAAAATTTTTTTTTTCAAAAAAGTCAATTGCCATCAATGGCTTCAGGACCCCAAACATCAAGCTATTCTTCTATTACGGCGAACAGCTGGGGTATATTGAAAACACTTCATTAATCATTTGTTCCCTAGGTAAACTTTACATTTATTTTTTTCCACAGGCGAAGAAAAGGGGTTATCTCTAGCAAACCCCTCCCCCAACCCCAGTGCTTAGGGAAGACGTTGGGACTGGATCACCGTTTGCCCAAAAGACTAGAAATTTGTAATTGTAGAAAACAATTTGCAAACAGAACCGGGCCACCTCACCCCTATCTCTTGCTCTGAAAAAGGCAGTATCAGTATTTTAACTTGGCCATGCTGTGTCTTCCTGTGCAGACCAAAGAAGGCCTCAGGGAGGTGATGTGTGCCTGCTGTCACCAGAGCTAAGTTTATTTTACCTGTATGGTCAGGAAAAGGAGAAAAAAAATTCCCAGCATCCTCCATCTAGACTAGACCAGAGTAGCAGCAGACTTCTGAATACCGTTTCCAGGGGGAGAATCGCAAATTGAGGCCGCTCTGGGTATTAGCATACCAATGAGGCTCTCATAGTAAACTGCCTTTGCTAGCAGAGGCTGTGAGCCTGGGCTGGGGCCTTCCCTGGGTGGAACACTGGACATTTGAAGAGTGTGGCTGTAGATATTCCTTTAAGGAGACCAAGACCTGAGTCTCTCAGAAAACAAGCCCTGAAGTCACCTCCAGAGTCGCCTGTACACACACACACACACACACACACACACACATTTCTCAGAAATAGATCTAAGTCACCCCTAGCTTCCCCAGATGAAACAGTAAGAACTCAACAGGAATTCACCTGTCAGCTAATTCAAATTGGCGAGCTGGAATTTCTCAGCTGCTTTCCCAAGGTGGTAATTGTCCATCTGCTAATCGGACTCATGGTGAAACCAGAAATCTGATTTCTTTTGGAAAAGTTGCTGGTTTATGAATGGATACCTGCAGATTAGTAAATTATACTCATTCCTCCGTAACACAACTGTGGATTTGGAAAAAACAGCTCAAGGCTTTTTGGTTGACAAGGATAGGCCGTGACCGCCTGTCCAGCCCCAAGAGGCCGTATTCAAATCCCTCTTTCACTTTCTTGGGTCTGTGAAAGATCCTGCCAAATGACGGCAAATAAGAGTGGGCCGTGTATGTCAGCCCACCAGACAGAGTGGCTCACGCCCCGGGGGGGTCTCTCCAGCATTGCCTTCCTCCTGCAGGTTCTGTCAAGGCCCTGGGGACAGGGATGCTCTCAGAGAACACACAGCCATGTACAGACTGCAGCATATGTGCACAGCCCAGGTACTTACTTCCTCCTTCTCTAGGGCCCCCCCACCCCACAGGCAGTCTTTTCCACCAACATCTCCCTCCATCATTTAAAAACTTTAAAGTAAGTTTTAATGCCTTGCTTTGAGTGTTAGCACCCTAACCCACTTTTTTAAAAAAAATGTCTCCTAGAAGTAAAATTTTGATAACGTGGTGGCACCAGGAGATGGCTGTGCTGTACCCTGTCCTTGGGGCTTCTGAGTCAGTGTGTTCTCTTGCCTTCGGTATGGAACCTGTTTCTGTCAGGTCTTCAGGTGTATGCTGGTTGTTATTAATAGGGGAGCACAGTCACGTTCCCGCAATTAAGACTGCAACCTGCATTCCCTAAACTTAGTGTGAGCCATTAAGTTGGCAGGTTATAGTCAAAAACCATAGTCAAAACAATGCCTGTTCATTAATATCTGCTATGGCAATCAGCACCAATAGTTGTAACTGTGACTGAACCTGCCGGGTCCAGTCCCCCCTCCCCAGAAGGAGTGAATAGAATTAAAAAGCATGCACTTTCCTAGGAAAAGGACCTTATCTTCACTTTCGCAAGAAGCTTTTATGGTACGAGATTCAAAGATGAGCCCTGTGCATTTAATGTCTATTTTATTTTCAATTACGCTTTGCAGCAAATCTGAATACCTCACATTATCTGCAGATTGGCGGGTATCACTGAACACTTGAAAGTGAGGATGTTTTTTTCTTTTCTTCTTTTTCTTTCCTTTTCTTTCTTCCGTTTCTTCTTTTTTAAGTCTATTTGAATTGAGAGGATCCTTCGTCTATTAAGGAGATGATGAAATGTCAACCCTGCTCCATTCTGGTTTCTTTCCACCCATTCATGCACTAAGAATGTCCCACAGGCTCTGGGTGGCAATGACCTCGGAAAAGTGATGTGGGCAGGGCTCTGAACATCTGGGTCCTCACCACCTCGGCAGGGTGAGGGAAGGGGAGGTGGAGGACTGCCCTAGCTCCTTGGTATTTGATTTACCAGTTGCCTGTGTGCCGGGCTTTGGCAGATCCTGCTGGAGTCTGAAAGACAGCCTGTCATACCCGGAGCCTGCAGCCTGCTGAAGTTGAGAAACTTGGCAGATGTGCAAACAGTAACTGGGTTTGAGTTGTTTTGATTGCGAGTTAAACAGAGAGTCATCGGCGGGGCCAATGCATATCTGCTAGGTTCTCCCTCTTTTTTCCATATTCTTTCTTCCCTTTGGCAACACGAGAGGAAGGGGCTGGGGACTTATG